GTTGAACAAAAAGTGTTTCTCGTCTTTGATTGAATCATCATACTGCAGGCTCTTCTCCCAAAAGACGCAATTCCCCAATGTTGGGTTCTGCAACAAGGCCTGTGAAGTTGTCCAAAGACCTCCGTTCTGAAACCTACCTCTTCGTGACACATTACGTCCACGACCTGGCTCATTTCGGCATTGATCAATTGGGATATGAAAGGACTTCATTGGTAAATTGGAATGAAAAGAGTTCATTGGCTCCTGCCACTTGCGATTTGGAGAGCTCATGCTTCCAAGGTCTCAACCGTTCTCAATCAGTCTTTTGGTTTTCCACAAGTGTTGCATTGTTCTCATGACCGACCTCTCCAAGAGACCTTGATACATCTTGGATGCCTACCCATGGTATCCTCCGGTATTCCACCTGGTAACTTCGCCAAAACCATCCCGAATAAGGGGACGCGTTTGGGGCTTCCCGACGGTGATGAAATGCTCTTTGGCAAAGTTCAGGACCTGGCGACGACGAACAGAAGTCGGGAAATCCTCCAGAGGAGCGAATCTCCAGAGGAGCGAGTCTTAGTCTACATGGGTGCCAAGGAGACGCATGAGAAAGAAATTGAGCTGGTCCAAGCAATGGCCGGCGGACGATGGCCCCACTCGGGCAGTCGTCAGAAATCCTTCAAGGAGTCCCTCTTCCGCAGGCTGTGGCAGCAGTACTTCAGTACTTGGGAGTACTTGTAGACCTACGGACCCACCTCAAATCCGCAAATCGGGAAACAGCGGCTCTCCGATGGATATAAACCATGAGCCGTGAGAAACAACAAGAACCTCCGTCCTCCCATCAAGTATAACACATCAATCCCTCACAAAAGCTAAGGCATCGGTCCTCCTGTACATCCTCCTCGCTGTAGAACTCGGGGCTCGTCTGCTTCGAGGACTCCACTAACTTGGGTCGACTTCGCAGAAACCTCGCGCGGAAGTGGTCCAACTCGCCGTTGACAGGCCAAGTGGGACCGATCTTTTGATGTCAAGGCAGGTTTGTTGTATATAGTCCACAAATAATAGATGGAGATCGAAACATGATAGAAACGGTTTCCATTATCAAGTTGAGTGGGGATCTACAAACGTCTATCTATTCTTCTGGTCGAATTCAATGGTCAAACGGACTCTCTTGCGTTTGCACCCCCTCTCAAAGTAACTCAAACGGGTTCCAAAGATCGGATTTTCGGATCGGATATGGAAATCCGATGTGAAGACCGGAGGACAAATCGAAAGGGAGTGTTTCACGTGCTTCGTTGAACTTCGTTTTGATATTACATAGTGTACAGTAAATTAATCTCAAAGATGCTCACTTCGAGTTCGCCACTTCTTCCCCTAGGCTGGCAGAAACAAGATAATACATACAGCATTCTTGATGCTCACGCGGACCACTTGTGCCCTGACATTTGGCCCATCGGATTCCGTTGAACCGTACGGAGCTGAAACGGCCATCGCCCTGTTGAAAACGGCCCGTTTCCAGCCCAAGGACAAGCGCCAGGACTGGTCATCTGTCAAGTGCCAATGGAAGAAGTTGGCCTTCACGGATGGACCCGATTGATCGGATCGGATGGATGGACCAAAAGGAGGACTTACTTACGAGGGTCTTTACGGATGGAATGCGGTGCACTTAAACGAGGTTTACTCCTATATCTGAATATCGATACATCAAATTCAAAGCACAAAACTCGATACATCGATACATCAAGTTCGGTGTGTTTGGACCGTCCCGGAGTCGTTCCGCAGTCGTGCCGCACCGGAGCGTGGCACGTTTTCAGCCGTTGGAGCTCCGCTTTGAAAAGCACGCGCGAATCGGGACATCAAACGCGTGAGGGGAAGCTGCGGAGCGAACAAGAAGCTACACCGATCTGGAACATGGTTCGTACCTGTCATGAAGCATGATAATGCCAGATATGGATCACTAAACTTGGAAGCACAGCAAGATGATATCTCACTAATTACTGCCGCGCCGACCGAAGACCGACCTGTGCTTCCTTCCGTGCGGAACTGCGTGGACCCGTGCCTTGTAGAACGCCATCTCTTCAAGGTATCGCTTGAGAAAAGCCACTGGCATGAAGTGCCTACCGACTGAGATCGGATTGCCGAGTTTCGGGGCGACGGGCAGGGACGGGGTGACCGACCCTGAATCAGAAGCTGCAAGACATCTGCAGTGCACTCTGACAGGCCGGTACTTCCTGGCATCGACATCTTTGAGGTCTTGGGTCTGAAGGCTGACACGAAGTGGACTGAAGGCGAACTGTTTGGTCCATCATCTTCAAACTCTTGGTGAAGTATATCAACAATGGCAACAAGTGCCTGTTTCTGGGACCACCAAAAGAGAGCTCCTTAAGACTTCAGCCACAATCATCCACAATCCTTGATGAGCCGGCTCTTTTTGACCGTGCTTACTGTTCATTTAGCCCCGTTTAGCCAAGTGGACTCCTGATCTCTGCCACTGGTTGGCAATCTTCGGACGCCTGTGTGTTTTTTTTTTGCATTTTTAAGTTTCAATATATAGTACTGGTTGATACCGGTTGGCTGCCAGGTTTGAACAAAACACACTCATTTCCGTGTAGGGCAAGGGTTCTCTGTAGCTTGAGGCTGACGATCTCTCGGCTCAGGTCTCGGCCACCCCCCGGGCGACCGCTCGAGACCCGCGTCTCACGACCACGCCTCACGGCATCCAGTTGCAGGCCGCGCCAGCACACGCGGGGCCAGTCCTGCGGCAGTGAGCCTCGCCTTGTGGCATGGAACAGTGCTCTCCAGAGTCAAGGACATGGTCCAACCGATTTCGGGACTGCAGGTCAACCAAGCGAAACAGAAACAAAACTGCCGGTCCCAAGGGGTGTGGTTTGGTCGCAAGGCCGGAGAAACCAATTTGACTGACCAGCTGGTGCAGTCAATCGACTGCTGTCACCTGCTGTCTGACAGTCTGCCTTCGTCCCTCAGTCTTGACTCAAGGTCTGAACGACCAGTCTACCAGAAATCGTCCGTCTGAGTCCGTGGCATTTTGTTTCCTGCACATACACCTCAGACTGGATCCTAAGACTCTCCTCGGACCGACGATGTTGGGCCAGAATTGCAACTGTTGCACAGGACCGGCACGTGCGTGGACGGGACAAGGCCCTCCACCTCTACATACATTTAGGCCCTCCTGCGATGTTTCCGTCTATGCCTTGAATCAAGCGGTTTGTCAAAGCAAAGCATCTAAGCATCTACAGGAATCCTCCCTATTACAACAAACAAAAAGGACATCTATGTAAATCTGATTGTGGGAAGACCTTTCTCATCCAAACCGCCAATTGCTGAATAATTATTGGAAGTTCTGCCTGTTTCTTTTAAATCTTCTGTACCACTTTACCAACCATTTCTTGGAGGTCTCAAGTCTTATCAACACAGCACCTTTTGTTGTCCTCCACTAGCTGCTGACCAAAGTCCTTGCCCTACATCGAGGTACAAAATGGTCCAAAACCCCACAAAACCAGTGCTTTGTGTGCATTGTTGAATGAATATGTTCAAATGGTTCCGGAATCCTCCTTTTGGGGGACTTAGAGATCTCCTCCTAGATCCTCTTTTAAAAACATGGTTCAAATGTCCCCAAAACAAGTGCTCCATCCACTGTTCCATCCGGGTCTTCCGCCCTTTTCCAGGGCGCCACACCCACGGTCCATCCGTCGCCCATTCGGTCCAGTCCCCTCGGCTTTTCTCGCGGTTTCCCAGACCCAGTCCTCCAGGAGAAAATTCGGCAGGTCGCTGACGAAGGCGGGGAGCCCTGAAGGTGAGGTGAGAGATGGTCGCTGACGCTGACGAGCCCGACCGTTGGCGACGACCGTTGGACAAACATGAAAAGGAATGTACCATGTTCAAAAATGTTCAGGAACAGTGCCATAGTGCTTGGAAGAGTCTGATGCACAGTACCTAGGCCACTAATCCCCCATCCAATTGTTTGGGGTATAGGTGTCGGGCTTGAGTTCTGGCTCTGCAAAGTGACGGACTCGACGTCTCCGATATAGCTAGCTGTGATTCAGAAGGGCCCAACAACGTGCAAGGACCTGACATGCAAACAAACATTGGCATTGAATGAAAAGGATGGTTGCACTACAGCAAAGTGGGGAGCTTTATAACGTTAATATTCACGTTGTGCAGAATCTGCGCTACATAAATTCTAGAATTGGTATGGCCCCGATGTAATATCTATTCTCTGCAATCTTTGGGAAGATGCACGTGAAAACTAAACACAAAACACATGTTATCTGCGATGTTTTTCGCCAAACAGGGTCTTGAGCTATGTCCTGTGCTGGAACTGCTTGGGTCACCTCTGTTCCGGTTTCCAGTTGCCGGGTGTGCTGCTTCACCGGCACACACACACAAACACACACTCTTCAGAAACTCACAATCGAGCGTGATTCCGGGTGGTGCCAGAAGTGCATTAGCCCTTGACAGTTACCGCAATGGGCCTTGGCTGCAAGCTCAAAGGCTAGGAAGAGTCTGTGAACAGTATTGTTTAACTTGGTTGAGACAGAGAGGAGAAAATTAAAACGCAGGTATGTGATAGTGGCGTCCCACTTCCATATCCTCAGGTACATCGCCAGCTTCGCTGACAAGGCGACGATGTACCCTGCCTGGCCCCCCTTGCATGTGAATTAAAGTGTGCAAGAGCCCGTAGGAACAGGGTTTGACACACACACACACACACACCGAGGATATTCACACCTTACACTTCTGAGCAGCAGGAGCTGAAGATGTCCTGAAGCAGCTTGGTCCGGTCGAAGCTGAGGATTCGAGTGTGAATTTCAGTCACATCCTGGAGCATGTTGGGTGATTCTGGAGCAAGTCGAAAACGGAAGAAACACATACCTCTTCCACATCCTGACACGTGCTGGACTGAAGCTGGACGCCAAGTCGGCAGTCCTTCCGACCGTGCCCGACCGGCCTCCTTGGAGCAGCTGCCGCAGCGTGGCCGCGAAGCGGAAGAGCCCGGCCGGCCGCGTCGCGCTGACGCAGAGCCTCGCGGAGCCGGGCCACCATGTAGCGTCCGAACGCTCCTAGTTATAAGGCCAGGAGCCCCGTTCTTTTTCGGCCACATGTAATTCTACAATTCTATATAGCAGCACCACGGATTTCGCGTGTCCATTAATAGCCCCGTATACAGGTCAAGGGGTGTCCATCAACCACCCCGACTGGAGGTCCAGGTAGCGACCTATTCATGAGGTTCACTCTCCCTTTTGCTGCTGCAGAGCCAGAGGCTGTCA